TTTGATATATACAAATAAAATTAAATTTTTAAATGCTGATGCGGATGCACTGAAATAATATATTTTTAACTGTTATTAATAATAGAAAAATTTGTTAACAATATTATTTTAAATTTTTTTCTATAAATATATTTTTTGTTAACAATATAATTTTAAAATGTGGAATTTTTTAATTTTAAATTTTGATGTGGACCAATAGAATTGAACTTTTAAATCCTATGTGGATACTTTTAGAGAAATATAACTTTAACTTTTATTAGTATAGATTTAGAAATCAAAGCTGGAAGATCCTACACGATGCCTGTTGCGGTAAGTGATATTGGTCTATCCTCCTTGTTTTGAAACTTACCTAATGTATTTGGATATTGCTTGGTCAGCTAATTGTTACCTTTGTGGTTGAGGTTGGGTTGTTAAAACCCTGTTAGATGCAATGTTATTCCAAATTTTTTTTTCGGATACCTCAGTCTCCTTCGCCTTAATGACGGAACCTCTTACTCTATTTTCAGTGCTTCATTTTTTAAAAGTGTCGAGTATCAATCACTTGACACGTTTCTCAGATTGCTTGGAATTTATCATTCTTCTCAAATTCGATGGTTAAACTTTATAGATTTTATGATCTCTTTTGGAATATTAAAGCAGCTTCTAGTGGTTTTGTTTATATCTTCTTTCATCATATTCTTTGTAATTTAACTAATATTTAAACAGATAGTTTAGTCAAATTTGTTATTTTACGTTGTAATAAGTCATTCTTTAGTGCAACCTAACTCTATATTTTTGTTTTTTTAATTGAAATGGTTGCACACAAAGGAAAAAAAAACTTAATTTTTATTATAGTATGTGACAAAAATTTGATTGCTAATGTAAGAGTCCCTGAATATGTGTGCATATATCTAATTTAAATTCAATATTTTCCTATTTTCCTACTTTAATATTGAAAATAATATAGCTTTAAATATTATTATAAATTTTAATAAACAATATTTTCTTATATTGTTTTGTATTAACAATGTAATTTTATAATTTAGATTTTTTTTTTAATTTTAGTTATTGATGTAAACTAATAAAATTGACCTTTTAAATCTTATGTGGATGTCATTAGATGCATATAGCTTCAACTTTTATTTTTCTATAAATATAATTTTTTGTTAACAATAGAATTTTTTTAAAAATTTAATTTTAAATATTGATGTAGACAAATAGAATTGAACTTTTAAATCCTGTGTGGATATTCTTAGAGGCATATAGCTTTAACTTTTCTTAGTAATAGGATTTAGAAGTCTCCTTGTTTCACTACAAGAAATCAACCATTTCACAACGACCATATTCGTCGTTAAATCGTTGTTAAATGAGGTTTGCGACGATTTAACGACGAATTCCAGTTCGTCGTATATTGATCGTCGTAACTGGTAATTCGTCGTAAAATCGTCTTTAATTAGCGAGAAACAAAGAATCGTCGTTAAATCGTCGGGAAGCATTCGTCGTAACATCGTTGTAAAAGTAACGACGATTAAACGACGAAAAAACATTTGTCGACAATTTGTTGCAAATTCGTGGTCGAAGAATCGTCCTTAAATCGTCGTTACTATACATTCGTCCCTAATTCGTCGTAAACATATCGTTGGTAATTCGTCGTAATTTACAATGATTTAAGGACGAAAGTTTATTTAATTTTTAAACCCAAATTTTTTTTGAAATAATAATAAAAAATGAAATAAATTAATTTGAATAAATTAATTTGAAAATTTGAAAATAAAATTATTTTAATTAAAAATAAAACAAAATATTTTTATTACAACAAAAAGAAATCATATTTAAGCATCATAATCAATTTCGAAATCTCCAAAATCGTCCGCAAGATTTGTAACCGGAGCATGTGATTGATCCTCTCCACCACTTGTAGATGCTCCTTGAGTACTCGCAGCTTGTGTCGCTCCTCCACTTGTAGATGCTCCTTGAGTACCCGCAGCTTGTGTCGCCGCTCTCCGTGCCGCCAATCTTGCCTCCTTTTCCGCTGCACGTTTTTGACGTTTTGCTCGCAAGGCATTTGCAACATCTGGGACTGAGAGGGCAATGATATCAAAGATGGAGTCATACTCTGAAAGCTCCTCCTGAACTTCCTGGTGATATGCGCTTTGAGACTCATCTAAAGTTGCAATCTTGGCCCGTAGAACGACTGGAGCATCTTCTCGTCCTCGGCGGCGTGGTGCGGATGACGAAGCACTCAGGACGTCTCTAATAGATCCTATCCCTACAACTTTTCCCTTCTTTTTCGGAGCGACCTACATTTTAAATTAAATTTTATTAGAAATCAAAATATTAAAAATAAATAAATAAATAATATTTATTAAATATATATACCTCCTCGAAGATTTGATCGATCTCACGAGTAGTCAACCCTCCGGATTGAACTGAAGAACCTCCGGGAGATAGTTGGGTCTCTCGCTCAGCAACCTTTGAAGTAACTTCATTATAGAGCTGCTCGGCTTTCTCAGAAACGAATGCACCATCCTTTTTCCGGTGACACTTCGCGAAAACCTCTGTCATAGGCGGGAGTTCGCCTCCATTTAGGAGCATTGTGATTTTTTTGGGTTATGGGAGGCACTATATATAGATTTTTATTTGGCTTACCATCGAATTAACAACGTTATTTAACAACGAATTTACGACGAAATGTAATTTAGCGACGAATTAACAACGAAAATGAGAATCGGGTGAAAACGTGTTTGACCGACCTATTATTTTGTCGTAAATTCGTCGTTGATTCCCGACGGAAATTATTCGTCGTTAAATCGTCCCTAAGTTACGACGATTTCACGTCGACTCTTGTTATCGTCGCCAGATCGTCGTTATTTCACGACGATTTAACGTCGATTATGTTTCGTCGCAAATTAACGACGATTTGGCGACGATTCTAAGAATCGTCGTGCAATCGTCGTTAATTCGAAGGGAATTTACGACGATTTGTAGTCGTCGTAAATTATCGTTGCTAAAGTCCTACTTTCTTGTAGTGTTTTGAGGCTTACCGAATGTATTCAGATGCTACTTGGTCAGCTAATTGTTACATTTGTGGTTTAAAGCTAGGTTGTTAAAACCCAATCAGATGTTATGTTATTTCAGAAATTGGATACTTCAATCTCATTCGTCTTAATAATGGAACTTCTTTCTCTATTTTATGTGCTTCGTTTTTCAAAAGTGTCAAATATCAATCATTTGACATGTTTCTCGGATTGCTTGGAATTTATCATTCTTCTCAAATTTGGTGGCCAAGCTTTAGAGATTTTATGGTCTCTTTTTCAATATTAAAGCGTCTTGTAGTGGCTTTATTTATATCTCCTTTCAATATATTTTTTGTAATCTAGATAATAGTTAAACATATAGTTTAGTCAAGTTGGTTCTTTTATGCTGTAATGACTCATTTTTTATGAAACTTAACTCTATTTTTTTTTTGATATGGTTACACACACATAATTTTTTTTTTTTTAAATTGTTATATGTGACAAAAAATTGGATATTAATGTAAGAGTCTCTAAATATGTGTATACATCTAATTTAAATGTAAAAATTTCCTATTTTAATATTATTTATTTTAGTTTTTCATTATTAATATAAATTATATATAATTTCTTTATCTTTAATAAAAACAATAATAGAATTTGTAAACATTTTAATTTTCAATATTGAAGTGGACTAATAAAAAAATTATACATAATTTTTTATTTAGCAATAATATTACAATTTGAACTTTCTTAATTTCTTTATTCAAAAATAATATTAAAAATTGTAAATTTTCCTTATTTTCGAATGTTGATGTGGACCAATAGAATTGATTTTTTAAATCCTATGTGGACGCCTTGAGAAGCCTATAGCTTCAACTTTTATTAGTATAAGATGCTGGAATAATGGGACAATTGACTTAATTTAGGAATTAGATGGAGCTAGATCAAGTAAAAAGGAAATATTTTTATCATGCTTCACCCAAGTTGAGATTAATCAACATTTATTCACATTAATTTAGTAAACTATGTTTGTATAATCTATAATATAACTAAAGATTATTATTAATAGTATAGAGGACAAAAACTGGGGGAGTTTTGTTCTATTATTTGTTTTGGACTATTTGGATTATAATGAGAGAGATATTTTTTAGGAGTTACGATCGGAATTGGATAGGACCCATGTTTAAAAAAGCGCTAGGCGTTAGTAGGGCGGTCGAGGTCTGCCTAACGCCTAGACAAAAAATCGGGGATTAATCGGAGATTAATTTTTATATTAATTTTAATTATTTTAATTATTTTTTTAATAATTATTCATTTTTAAAAATTAGTTTTTTTACATTAGAGCATACATAACTAAATTTTATATAAGTATATACATAATGGTAGATCTAAAAAACATATTGGTGGATTGAATACTCATATTTAACTTAAATCCATAAATACCCATAACATTTTTTTTAAAAAATAGGTCTTTTGTGTTGTCCCACATCGACAAACTTGGATAATTGAGAAGGGGAAGCTGCGCTATAAATAGGAGTCTTCATCTTCTGTGAAGTTAATTCATTTTCACATTCTGGTCGCGATTTATGTTAAATAGTCTCCGAGTTTTATCTTAAGTCAACGATTTTATTTTTTAAATAATCGGTGATTAATTGGAAGTAAATCAGTAACCGCCTAAGCTGACCGCCTAGGCTAAAATCGCGGTGGCATGCCTCAGGGTATTTTTCGAACACGGGATAGGACTTACATAGCAGCTAGGGCGTGAAGAAAAAGAAAGGAAAATCAAAACCGCCTACAAAATCAGTGGGACCCACCTCTCCCCAGAAAAATTGTGAGCAGAATAAAATAAAGCATAGAATAAAGCATCTTCTCCTACAAAATTGGTCAAGCTTTTGATCAATACCCCAAAAATCCTAATCCTAATTTGAGAGGGAAAATCTCTCCGCCAAAAAAAACCCTTCTTCTTCTTCCCCCCCCCCCTTTTCTCTTTCTCTCTCCTCTCCCTCCAAATCTGCATCTATCTCGAATCTTCTCTCTCTAGATTTTTCTAGTTTTAGGTTTTGTCTTTAGTATTCAGTGTCGGAAAAAACGCTTGTTACAGTCATGGCGGTGATGGACCGCGGTCGGAAGGCCAAGAGAGCGAGGCGTAGCAACAGAATCTCCGCCGATCTCTACGATTTCTCCACTTTTCCGGTGGAAGAGATGTGCACGTCCAACTTGCCCCCGTTCCGCGACGGAGTGAGATCCTTCCTCTCTACCCACGCACGCGTCACTTTCCCTACCTCGACGACGCTATTCTCCAGCCTGATGACGTGGCAGATCCTTCTCAGACATGGAGATTCGACGGACGGTTCAGATCTCTCGACTAGACTCGTCTCCCTCGACGTTGTGGAGGAGGATGTAACCAGATCCTCTAGATCCGTTTACTGTGACCACTGCCGAGTCGTTGGTGAGTCCACGTCCCTTAAAAAAAAAGGTTTTAAATTGTAATCACTGCACATGCATAGATTTGAAAGCAAGATACTAAAGCAAAATCCTTTTTTTTTTATGTTGATGTGTTTTGTAAAGGCTGGAGTAGCCATCCAGTGTGTAGAAAGAGGTACCATTTTATTATACGGTCAGGAAGAGACAGTAAAAGCCACAACGTTGGCCTGCAAAAGGCTTGCTCGAGGTGTGGTAATACACAGAACTTGTCCGAAGGAAGCAATTGCAAGTGGTGCAGCTTGGCTCTTGACACCGAGGACTGGGTTTACTCTCAGCTAGAGGACAACACTCACCTCCTTCACGGCGTTATCCACTCAAACGGATATGCTCATCTCTTGTCTCTCAACGGTAGAGAAGGTGGCTCTGGTTTTTTGACTGGTCGTGCCATTATGGACTTTTGGGACAGGCTTTGTTCCTCCCTTGCTGTTCGTAAGGCGAGTGTGATGGATGTGTCTAGGAAGTATGGAATGGACTACCGGTTGCTTAATGGGATTACTAGAGGTTGTTCGTGGTACAATGAGTGGGGGTATGAATTCAAATCTGGGAGTTATGCACTGACAAGAGAAGTTTACCAGGGTGCGTTGAATACGCTATCTGCGATGCCTCTCTCTGAGTTCTTGTTCCAGGGGAGGAGGGCAAGAACCCAACTCCACTCCACTATTGGCTTCTACCAATCACTCTCGTGTTCAGAGCTTGTGACCGTGAGAGACCTCTTTTCCTTTCTGCTACAGCTGATTCGTGAGAACCGATCAAAACCCGCAGCAAAGCCGTATGTTCTGTGTGCTTGGACTAGGAGTGATATAGAACGTGTACAGCAAGCCATGGTTAAGATAGTGAAAGCTGCAGGAGGTCAACGAGGCAACTGGGTTACAAGGTGGGCTCTCAAAAGGTCTATTTGCAAAACAGCATCTCCACAGCTGATTGATTACTGTCTAAAGCATTTTGGAGGGTTTTTGGCGGATGATGGATCACGAGTAGTCTGCTTCCGTTGTAACCCTGGTTCGAACGACTTTGAGTACAGGTAATGTTTCTTCATTTTCCTGGTTGGTTCGGCTGGTTTCCAATTTGCAAAATCTTAACCTTTGCTCGTGAACTTCAGGCTTGAACCTGTCAACAATGTGCACCGCTTATCTAATCAAGACATAAATTTTGCATCAGAAGAGCAAATCAAATGCGACTTAAGATATTTGTATGACACTTTATTGCACCCACAAACCATGGCCGAGTTTAGGTCTCAGGCAACAAGAGTTAAAATGATTGATGCAGCCACAAAGATACTTGATTGTAAGCATTTCATAAAAGAGTACCTGTCTAGCACGGTTAACCCCTTTGCAATCAACCTGTGGTGCAATGTTGAGCTCTCGGATGAGGCCAAAGACTGCCCATCCCCTCCACCTGAACTTTTGGTTTTGCCATTGGACGCTACTGTTTCTGACCTGAAAAGCGAAGCTGTGAAGGCGTTTCAGGAAGTGTATGCAATGTTCAAGAGGTTTGAAGTTGAGGAGCTCCTAGGTTATGGCTCTATAGATGACTTCATTACCCTGAAGTTTTTAGTTGGCACAAATGGGGTCATACGGGTTAAAGGGAGATGCTCATCAAAACACGGGCTCCTCCGATACCGCATGGAGAGAGGAGTGGAGAATTGGAAGGTTGATTGCAAGTGTGGCACAAAGGATGATGATGGTGAAAGGATGTTAGCCTGTGATATGTGTGGTGTGTGGCACCACACTAGATGTGCTGGGATCCAGAACTCTGATGCACTACCTTCCAAGTTCCATTGTTTTAAATGCATTGATTTGTACAGCAAGAAAACAAAGCAATCTGATAACAAGCATGGTTCTAGTCAAGTGCCCAAAACTGGCTTTGTTTGTAGAGGTGAGTCAGCTGCTATGGGCAGTGGATCTAATTTATCCTTAACACTTAGTGTAGGCTGACTGTAATTCTGATCTTTTTGTATATAGGTTTATTTCTAGGCATAAAACTGCAAGTGGCTTAATATGTTAACCCGTGATTGTAACACGTGACTACTTGAAGATTTCAATCCTAGACTTTTAAATGTTATGTTTTCATGGGTTTGAGACATTTATGAAGAACAAATGTTTTTTGCTAGGAGCATGTTACCTTTCCTTCATTGTTGCACTTTACTCCTAATTCTTAACATCTTCCTCATTCAGGGTCACTTGCCTCTGCCTCCACACTTGGGTTGTCCAAATCTGTTGAGAGCACTCAATAAGCATCAGACAAGAACCTCAAAGATAGTCTCATGAAGCTAAAAAAACATAAAGCATACAAGGCCAACTACTATGACTACTTGAACTTTTCCTAAACGAAGATATTGTGACTAAAGTATGCAAATGATTTGAGTAATCTCACCACTAAACAAAGAAGCATGTGTTTGCATTCTTATTGATGAACCAGAATCTACCTTCTTGATCAGCGCTGCAAAACTTCTTAATTCACTTTAGCTGGGCTTCCTCTTCTAACTAATCTTGCTCTTGCACCTTGCACGTTTTTGTCAAAAACAGTTTCCTCAATGGAAATTGACTTTTGGGCTAGCTCCATAGTTGGCTGAGCCAAGTTTGGCATATACTAACCATCCTCGGAGACAAATTTGGCCCTCCTCTGGAGAACTTGAGTTAGGAAGCAAGAGCGGAGGATTTGCCTGCAATAGCCGACCAAATGAATTAGTTTTACATAGCAAGTATTTCAATCATCAGAAACAGCAAAATGTAACATAAAAAGAAAATGCTATTCTAATAGAAAATGGTTCTATAATAAAAGCAAGCTTGAGACTTCAAATAGCACAACTTGACCTGGAAAGAATTTACAGCACGACAACGTTACAATTAAATTTTACTTCTTACATTGGAGAGTTTAGAAAGGCACGAAGTTGCGAAAGCTGAAATTGAGCAGAGAGCTTACCTTTGATTGTAACATATACGAGGAGAAGTAAGAACTCATATGCTCCTGCCAGAATATTGTCCTTCGACTTTAATGTATCAATAATCATGTTGCTATTGAGTGTGCAATAGCTTTTCATGCGAATGGACTTCGAAGGAGTTGATTTTCAGTAGGTTCTTCTCTGCAACCTATACTTAGAATAAATCTCCGACCTGAAACAACTGCCAACGCTTTTTGTTAAACACCAACAAAGAAAATGGAAAAAAATAATGCATATGATAGGCTATTAGCTAGAAATCCAACAACTGACCATCATCATGAAGATTCTAAGCATTTTCATCATTTCGAAGATCTGCTGGTCCGTAAGTCTTGATACATAGTATTTTTCCAACGTTTTTCTCCAAACCCTACAACAAGCAGAGAAACTAACATCACCGACATCACCAATCAAAAATTTGCTGATGATGAACAGAATAGAGGATAATTCTTGTGATGACAACAAAAGGGAATCAAACTAACCTCCAAGACACAATCAATATATTCATCTGTTAAATATTCCCTAAAGGCCGTTTCCATGGCGAGAAATAATTTATGAACCTTCTTGCTGCGAAGATTGTATGGAACGAAAACGATGCGAGGAAGCTGGGATTCATCAAATCAATTGGTTTATCAGCACAATACATAGAAACACAAAGCGATACAATAACTTCTAAAACTTTGCCGAAACATATATATCCAATTCACACAAAACCTTCGATTTGAGTAATTTAAGAATCTCAATTTTCAAAACACGACGAAGTGTTCAGAATCATACCTCTTGATAGATCGAACAAGATCGATTGAAAAAGCAGCACACTTCTTTTTTTTTTTCCGGGAAAATCATCGAGTTCAACTGATTGATTTTCGCGCGTTTCCATGAGAATTGAAACCCTTATCCCCGGTCCATAATTCTCTCGACGGGAAGATTGAATTGATAAAAAAAACCACAAAAACAACAACTGAACGGATTTAAAAGAAACTTCTCTTTGGAAGGTTAGTCTCTTTCTCTAATTGGTTTTGCAACAGAAGCAGCCATGTGAAACGGTAAAGAAGAAGCAGAGAGGAATCGTGAAAGATGAAGAAGAAGAAGCAATAGCATCGCTGCAACGAGCTGTAACATTCATCCACCAGACAGTTTGTTCAAGAAAAGAGATGAACGGAGTTAAATGCACCGTTGAATGTTAGGTTACAGTTTACAACAAAACATTAAATGGGCCAAACAGTTATCAGGCCCAATAAAGATCATTAATGGGCTGAGTTATCAAATATCTAACCGGAGAGTCTTTCTTTTCCGTCTGCAATTTCCGAGTGAGGAAAGGTTTAGGGTTCAGAGAATAATGGAGGAGGATCGTCGGAGTTCGCCTGCTTGTATTGAGGTTCTGGTTGCAGGCGGCGGAAATGTCGTCAAATGGATCGATATATCTGTGCCTTCTCCTTCTCCTTCTTCTTCCATTATCGGTACTAATTCAAGTGAAGACAATGGTCGTGTTCTGCTCCCGTCGACTGAAGAAGACTATGCCTCTAGCTGTGAAATTGAGGAAACTGAGATCTCTTTCATTTGGAAAATCAACAAGACGAGCCCAAATGTCCTTGAGCTTCTTCAGCTCTCTGCTAAGTCGGGATTTCCAATGACCGGGCTGCGTTTCGTCTTTGCTCATAATCTCTCTCCCTTTGCTTTTGTATTCGCCGAAGAGGTAGATTAAATGAAACTCGTCTAAGATTTGATCCTTTAGTGTATTGAGTTTGTGTGTGTGTGTGTTGAAGTTGAAGCTATGGAATTGAATTGCAGGGTAGTGATAGTGTTAGTGGTCGAGTCGTCTTCTTTCTTTACGCCCTCACGCCGTCTGGTGTTGTCTACGTCCTTAAACTCTCAAATACGCAAGCCTATAAGTCTGGCTCAGTCTTCCCGCTTGATCATCTGATTCACTTGGATGTTCGGCCTTACTTGAACGAAACTCATGTAACCAGTGTCGCTGCATCCCCTGGCTTCCTTTTTCTTGGGAGATCTGATGGTTGTGTCTCTTGCTTACAACCTTTTGTGTCTCCTCAGAAACATTCAGGTACATGCTTACTCTACACTAGCTTAGTATCTTAGTTTCGATGTTTCTTCCGCTCTCTGACCAATTTCCTTGTCTCTGATCAGGTTTCCACCAGGAGCTGCGTGATGATACAGGATTCGGTCGTCTATGGGGATTTGTAAGGCACGTCTTGTAGTAAAGTTATTAGAAAACAAAATGTCTTTTCTTTACATTAGCTATCTTTTGGTTATATGCTGTTCTTTTTCCTTCTCGTGATGTTCATCTAAATAACCACTTATAATGTGCAATGTAGGGGGGCAGTTATTGCAGCGGTGCAAGATTTATTTATATCAGAAGTTCATGGGAGAAAGTTTATATTTGTGCTTCATGCTGATGGGGCATTACGTATCTGGGATATCTTGACTTATAGCAGGGTTTTGTGTCAGAGTATAGCTGCTAAAAACCTTGAGGGTAATATCTGCTAGTTCTATCGGTAGCCGTTAATTGATTATGTTTTGATTATCTTTTTACCTCTGTTTTGACCTTTTTCATGCTTCTTTCACTAGGGGTTATGTGTCTGAGGTTATGGTTGGGAAAAGCTGACTACGACTCTGGCATCATTCCAATAGCTGTATTGTATAGAAATAGTATGGTAAGCTTTTACAACCTGTATTTGAAATTCCTAACGACTGACGGGTTGACTTGAGTGTCGAATTCTATCTTTAATACAATTTTCCCATTTTTTGAAGGGTGTCAGCGTGGACGTGATCACTGTATATGGCCTGCGCTTTATTTCTGGGGAGGGGATAGCTTTTTCACTGGATTCTGGATTACAGAATATTCCAATGGAAGGGGTACAAGTGTTTGGGCTCATGCTATTCGGTTTTTCGTTTGCTCATAACTATTCGGTTTTCCCTGTAATGTATGTCTTTTGTCGCAACTTTGTTAAATTGCATATACTGATTCCTGACTCTCGCAGGGGGAATTGCGGGATGTAAGATTTACTTCCGACCAGATCTGGATTCTAAAAGCCGATGATTTGACATCTCACATGTTGTGCCATATATCCAGCGACATGTAAGTTCGAGAAGACTTTTTTCCTGCTGATTTGGTTGAGTTACTTGGTACGCCAGTTTAGTATCCATGTAAAAATTGCATTATACTGGTGTGTTAAGCGATTCTGCATATACGTGCTTTATCTTGGAACTTATACTATTTGGAAACATTAACAAATAGTAGGTGAATTTCTGTGTTAAAAGAGTATTCTTGAAAAAATGCAGAACTCTAGGTGAAGCCATCTCCAGAGGTTGCATTTCTGGGATTGGTTTGTCAAAATTTTAGTAGGTTAAGCTAGAAAGCTTTTTAGTATCTAAACTGTTGAGGGAATTGCTGCTCTAGTGCATCTTTACGTAGTGGTTGTGCTATTTACTACTACAGATATTTTAGTGTTCACTGCTTTGATTTTTGTTTCTTGATGGTTGATAATGCTGTATTTTAAATTGTTTTCCTTGACCTAGGGAAGCACACTCTTACACTTTGCAGGAAGAATGCATTGCTGAGCAGCTATTTTTAAGTTCTAAGAGCTCTTCACAGGAGCTTCTTTTGACAACGCATTCACTGTTTTCATCCGCAAAGGTGTTTATGCTAAACCATAGCTTTCATTTTGCTGAAAAAACCGTTATACCCAATCTTTTTCTCCTTTTACGCATGTTATGCTGTAAAACAATGTTTATTTGTCTGAGTCCATCTTTACCTATATTACACTTTGCAGGAGCAAATTATGGGATTCATTTCATCACTCTTCTTACGCAGGCTTCTTTGTCCTGGAATTTTTCACAGTGATGCCTTGCGTCTAACATTAATGGACCACAACAAACGCTGGACTGATTCTGAGTTTCAATCTTTAAGTCTTGATGAGCTTAAAAGCGAGATTCTTTTACTGGTTGAGCATGAGGTTTGGTTCTTGCTATGTTCTAGAGTACCTTGTAGATACAATGCATTCTACTGTTAGTTGGCATAACTCTGGGTCATAAAAGCTGAAATATGCCTCTTTTTGTGTCAGGTTACTGGTGAAACTTCTATTTCAGTGTTTCACTGGTGGGAAAACTTTTGTACATGTTATCTCCATCATTGGTGCAACAATAATGAACCTCGGACGTTGCTGGTTCAGTCAGATGTTATTGGTTTAGTTAGAAAGAGTTCTGTATCGTTGTTCTTTAGATTAGAGAATGCTGAGCACAGCCTTGGAGGTATGTAAAGGATTCTTGATCTATTATCTAGAACCATAATTTCCTTGTATTGCTTACAATCTCTTAAGAGTTAATTAGATGCCTGCCTTTTGATAGGATTCAGCATGATGACAAGCTTAAGCTTGGGCATGTCTCACAGTGAACATGAGATTCTGTTGGGGGTACTGAAATGTACTTTGAAGATCAGTAAGCAGTGGGGCGGTGCTCCATATGCCATGTATTATGAATCGGTTACTGGAAAGCCAGTTATCTCATCGGATGAAATAATTTTCCGATTAGTTGACATCCTTGAGTCGGGATATGCTATGTCCATAGGTCAGCGTACGTGGTCGGATCTTGGTGCTGATAGAGCATGGGAAAAAGAATTAGAAGCTCATAAAAATCTTAGATTGTTCTCCATTGATATGTTATTGTCTCTCTCTGCTCTATGTCAAAGGGCTGGATCTTGGGAAAAGGTTTTTACTATCATGGAGCACTATTTGAAGTATCTGGTCCCTAAGAAATTTATGAATAACAATAATGGTGAGGCATTATCTGATATCTGTAGTTCTATCCTCGTCCACGCCACTTCTCAGTTTGTGAAGGTGATGTTTGAGTCTGCCTTTGACATCTTCATACTCGTTAGCTATCTGCTTAACATCTCAGGGCAGGTCAGTTACCACTTTGTATCATATCATTGTCAAAATGTATTTCTTTGGAATCAGTGCAGTTTATATTTTGACACTAATGTCACATATTCTGTTTTTTGCATTTATATATCATAAACTCAGTCATCCATTATTTTTATTCTTTGGCATTTTCTTTCTGCAGGTTAATATGTCACAGCAAGACATATGCAAGCTACGGCTGGAGTTGCTCCCGATGATCCAAGATATTGTCTCAGAGTGGCTCATTGTCCATTTCTTTGTTAACACTCCGGCCGAGTCGACGTCATTGGAAGATTTCAGCTTTAAACTCTCATCTCTACAGATTGGTAGGTTGTTGTTCTTGAAAAATATTCCACGAAGCTCATACATCACAGTCAATCCAATATTTCTGACTGGACACAACCGTTTTATCATTGCAGATAGCAGCATTGACAAAAGATCATGGAACACAGTGCTGGGAAAATGTGGTTTCTCATTGGCGCATATTCTTATTTTTAGTGACCGAAGTTGCATTGTGGGAAGCCTATCTAACTTGGGATATCTTCCAAGTTCACAAATCATTACACATTTGGTACAGAACTTTATTAGCTGGATTCGTTATAGTAAAAGAGGAGAGGACTCTTCGTCACTTCTAAGACGCTCAACTGAGCTTATTCTTAGGTTAATAAGGAATGGACAGACTGATGCTATTGAGGTAAAAGAAATATTTTAGCTTCTTTGACGAAGACAACAAAAACATATCTCTAGCTAACTTCTAGTTAAAATTAATTGCTGATTCCTCTTTTATATTTTTTCGTGTATTCTTAATTACTTTCTCAAGCGAATCCTTGGGGTTGTGGAGGCAAGTTTGCGTGGGGAGAAAACATATGGACGTGCTCAAGATACTAGTGGAGATTGGTGTCTTCTTCAACATCTGCGTGGTTGTTGCCTCCTTGATCAAGTACAACGTGGAGCCTGTGAGATATCAAGAGAGAGGAAGATTAGTGATGCCATCCGCTGCTTCTTCAGGTGCTTATTATTTGAAGTCGGTTCAGGATGCTTTGAAGTCCTGTCATGTTTGAGTTATATGATGGGCATATACATAATTTGTGGGTCTTATTCTAATCGCATAAAACACTTCGTTATTTTCTGCCTTTGTTGTTCAGTGTCGCTGGTTCATTTATTTTCTAATATTATCCATTCAATTACATTTTGTCTTCGTATTTTCTAAACTACATCTCAAGTATCTACCCTGTCATGGTTCCCAATGTAGAGCTTCATCAGGTGAAGGATCTTGGGAGGCCTTGCACAGCTTGTCTGAAGAAGCAGGATTTTCGCATTCCACAATTGGTGAGCTCCTCAAAGAAATTTCTTCTCTAGTTCTTTGCCAGTTTGCCTATTATTTTGGAACACTAGGCTGTATGTCTTGCAGATTCACTTTTCCCTCAATTTGGTTGAAGCAGGTGCCACTGTTTCAGATGGTATAAAGTCTTGTGCGACATGGAAACTTCATTACTATGAATGGGCAATGCAAATTTTTGAACGTTACAATATAAGTGAAGGAGCTTGTCAGTTTGCCTATGCAGCCCTTGAGCAAGTAGATGAGGCCATTAATTTCATGGAAAGTAGTGAGAACGTCCCTCTACCTGTAACAGCCACCCACAGTAGAGGACGACTGTGGGCAAATGTTTTCAAGTTCACCTTAGACCTGAATCTCCTGAATGATGCTTACTGTGCTATAATTTCAAACCCTGATGAGGAGATTAAGCGCATCTGTTTGAGGCGCTTCATAATAGTTCTATTTGAATGTGGCAAAACAAAGGTAGAAAACAAGAATTCTTCTTCTCTTATTTTCCTTAGTATTTCCATCTATGCTTTTGTCCAAAACCCCAGCAAATCTTTTCCTCTTATTGTCTAGTACCACGAGAACATTTCACAGTCCATTATCACTATAATTGTTATAAACAGTGTAATTCATTTGCAATTTCTCTTTGCTGTCAAGTGTTTGTTTTTTTGGAACTAAAAATGATTCTGCTATTGCTGTCTTATATGCTCAGGCCTCCACAAAGATGTGTGTACTACCATGACTTAAAAAAAGCTAATTCCTATGAATTTCTCTTATGATTTCAGATCCTCAGTGATGGACATCTACCTTTCATCGGCTTAACAGAGAAGATCACCCAAGAGCTATCTTGGAAGGTAATTTGTGGGTAACAGAGTCGGGTTATTCTGCCCTCGGTTTATTTCTCCTGTTTCATTCCTTCTTTCTACGAATTGTAGGCCGGCCGTTCTGATATAATGATTAAGCCAAATCCATACAAGCTACTTTATGCTTATGAGATGAGACGACACAATTGGCGAATGGCAGCAAGTTACATGTATCAGTTTTCTGCTCGTCTGAGAAGCGAGGCAGCATCTAAGGATTACATACACATGTCCCTAGTTTTGCAAGAGAGGCTCAATGGACTTTCTGCTGCTATAAATGCATTAAGTCTTGTTCATCCTGGGTATGCTTGGATAGATCCACTACCAGAAGAATCCATGCGTTATTCAGTGAAAAAGGTTAGAAGAGAAGAAGAAGAAGAACAATGTAAGTCCTCTCAATCACATGTTATGTTTGTCTTTTCTTACTGATATTTACTTTTTCATAATTTCTACTAACCTTAATCTTTAAACGCCGAAGCATCGCTCTTTTATGTTGTTGTATTATCACATGGATAGTCATTTTGAATCACTTTTGCCGCAGTAAGGAGTAATGCCCAGACCAAAGGGGAGCAGAGTTGCATTGATATCGAGAAACTCCAAAACGAGTTTGTTTTTACTACAGCAGAATATCTGCTTTTTCTGAAAAATTTCGGGTGGACATATTCAGGTAAACTGTCCTATTTCCTCCACGGTCTGCTTTGAGTTTGCAGTGAAAGTAGTTGGAACCTTTAATAATCCGTGCTTTAGAACTAGTTAAAAGGCTTCTGCAATTGTAGTTGACAGAAAATCACAAGGTACCTCCCTAAATGTGATGTTAGGCCATTAAGAGCTTGATCTACTATTGCAAAGATTAAATATGCAGTCTCCTTTTATATATGAGATCGCTCTTGTACATCATTGATTAAGCTACTGGGTGGACTGATTTCCATGACAGACTGCTTAGGTGGCATAAATGTGTTTTATGCAATTTCATTTCCCTAAGGCATGATTTCAGAAGGGTTTAAGAGACCCTGCTGATAGTTTCCAAGCCATCTAATACAGTCATGTCTATAACTACGCATTGTTGTCTTCACTCCAGGACTTGAAAAGCCACCATCGGACTTGGTTGACCTTCTTGTCCAGGCAAACTTGTATGATATGGCATTCACTGTTGTTTTAAAATTTTGGAAAGGGTCAGCTTTGAAAAGGTAATTCCTTGCTTGGTATTTTCTGCAATCATATTCCTTGAGAATTACATAGGTTATTTACTGCTTTATTCTCAGGGAGCTGGAAAAGATATTTGAGAATATGGCAATTAAATGTTGCCCTACTAAAGGAACGCTGTGGACATCGTGAGTGACTATTCCTTAGTTGCTTGGTATTTCATTGGTTACTTGTTGAGTTACCTGACTTATCCAAAATAACATTAATATTTAACTTTTTTTTATCTTACAGAAATGATCTCAGGCCTAATCTTATGTTAACATCTACGGACGAAGAAGTTACTCATTCGCCTGATAGAAGCCCTGCTGTTCAGGGCTCTAAGTTGGCTGGTGACTGGGAAGTTCTTGAGGTTTATCTTGTGAGTGACTTCTGAATCCTTGATTGGACCAGAAATATGCCCTTAGCTGCTCTGAATCTAAATGGTTATGATGAACCAAGAATGTGTCTCGTATTATAGTCATCTCTTTTTATTTATAGTATTTGGTCACTGACACCAGAGCATAAATCTTTCAATAAGACCTGCTTACATTGTCATTACCCTTTACTGGGAGTGTAATTGGTTCGTTCAAGTGTGCTTGAATTTTCTGATTGATGCTTAAGAGTATAGCAAGTTTTAATCAATATTTGTTTCGTGAAATAATGTGTACCGGATCTATATCAATGCAGAAGAGGTACATAGACATACACGCTAGACTACCAGTTACCGTTGCTTCAACCCTTCTTCAAGCAGATTCTTGTATCGAATTGCCTCTCTGGCTGGTTGAAATGTTCAAGGTAATATTTTGGATTTATTTTAAAATGTTTTGAGTCGATTACCCTTTTTAGCATGTGATATATATATGTAGCTTTAAATCATGAAACTTTGGATTTGGTCTGCTGCATGAACAATGTTGCATTAGTAAGCCTTTGCTTCACTACTACTATATCGGAGATGCAGATTTTAGAGTATGCGTTTTGTATATCATGTTAGATCATTACACCGTATGAGAGATGTTTAGTGTAAAAGGCATGACTGCTTAAGGTTGAAGAAAGTATTTATTATCCCTACACAATTATTGTAGTGCCTTAGAATCGACATCTAGGTTGATTTCTTTCATTTACACTATGGAAAGAAGCAATCATTTGTAAGCTTGTTCTCTACTGGTCTCATGCAAGTTCTGTTTTGAGTTTTTGACAGGACGGTCAGAAGGAAAAAGCCTTGGGAATGGGTGGGCAAGAAGCAAGTCCTGCTTCCTTGTTTCAGTTATATGTTGACTATGGGCGTCTTACAGAGGCTACTAATTTGCTATTGGAGTACATGGAATCATTTGCATCATCGGTGAGTTAGTTATGATCTATGTCTGTCAGCTGTAGAGAATCATTGTTGGATCATAAGCATCTCGCTATAGGATAGCATTTCTCCATATTAGGATTTGTAGGTTGGGTAGGGTAGGTCGAATTGAATAGAATTTATGCAAAAATAGAGGACGTTCAAGTTGCAAGAGCCATACACATGCACAAAAACAAACGGTTGCAGATTTTACCCTTAAGAAGCAGCTCTAATTGACTAAACATGAGTTTGCGCTTGTGTTGACATGTTCTTGTTAATAATACTGTGAAGAGCATGATTCATATGTTAGGACTTAAATAACCTTTCTCTCTTTACGAAAACAGAAACCAGCAGAGGTATTGAAAAGGAAAAAAGTATCAGGGGTGTGGTTTCCTTACACAACAGTAGAAAGACTGTGGTGGGAGCTAGAGAAAACGATGAACTCAGGACGAATGTTGGAACAGTGCAAGAAGCTTAAGGGACAACTTCATCAAGCATTACTCAATCACTTAAAGCTGGTACATTTGCAAATCACAAGAGTGCTGCAAATCATGTCCTTGTGATTTTTGAATCAGTCTTTATAAAGTGATATTCGTTTTTTGGTTTGTTTGTTTTGTTTTTGCAGCTGAAGGTGGACTCAGATGATGCTGTGTCCTCTGCAACTGGTTGAAGAAAAAGAAAATCCAATAGATATCTTGGAATGGGAGGCTTCATGATTTATCAGTGTGAATATATTTATACAAAAATCGTATTTCTTATGAGTTTTGACTTTTGTTAGTGTAGTTTAAAGTTAAAAACAAATCTTTTGCTTGAGTACATTTGTTGGTCCATAATTTCATTTGATTTCCAAAGTAAATTGTTAAGTAACTCCCAAAAATAAAAACAACCAATCCAACTGGTTTTAGATTTGGTTTTTCTTAAAGATTGGATTACACTAAATTAATCAACCATACTAATAGAACTTTAAGGATTTGTTGCTGCACTTGTACACAATAAAATCAGCTTAAAAATTACTTTAGATTGCCTTAAATTGCTTTAATTCAGTTGATGTAAAATGGGATTTATTGTAGGGACAAATTGATAAATAAAAATAAATTGCAAAAACCCAAAAACAAATTAATATTAAAGTAAAAAGAAAAAAAAAACAAAAGAAAAGTCAAACGGCGAGTGAGGCATTTTGTGAAGAGTATAAAACAAGTGAGAGTGGTCTGAGTGGTAAAAGGCTAAAAGCAACCAACAATGGAGAAATTGAAATCGCTGATTCCTGAAGATCTTCTGCAAACAGTTAGAAGCAGCAGCGTCGATGATCTTCTCTCCTCTTCTTCTTCTTCTCTTCTCCGTTTGTTTCTGGGTCTTCCCCAATTTCACCGAGTACGTATACAGTCACCCAAAACCTACTCTTCTCTGTGTTTATTTTATCTTTTGTTCGTCTCTTGAATTGGAGTTATCAATTTCCTTTTCCTTGCACTTCTTCTTCTTCTTGGCTCGGCTTTTATTAGGTGGTGAGTGAATTATCGGATCCTGGTTTGGGTTGCTGTGGGAAGAACGAGGAGACGTCACTGGACTTGAAACGACGGGGAAATCTATGCTTTCGCAGCCATGATTTCGATGATGCTTTGCGTTTCTACTCGAAGGCCTTACGCGTTGCTCCTCCACACGCCATTGATGGAGACAAGAGCTTACTTGCTTCTCTGTTTCTTAATAGAGCCAATGTCCTTCATGTATGTTTTTCCGTTCTATTACTGAATCTCTTAGCTGATTTCCACCCTCTTTGTAGCTTCTCATGTATGTCTTGTATATTGTGTTTAGAATTTGGGGCTTGTGGAAGAGAGCTTGCGGGACTGTCATCGTGCTCTTCGGATTGATCCTTATTATGCAAAGGTTCTAAATATTTGGTTCCTTGAACTTTCGCATTCCATCTCTCGATTCCAGTTTTGAATTGATCTTTGTGACAGGCGTGGTATAGGAGAGGGAAGCTTAATACTGTTCTTGGAAATTATAAAGATGCGTCTCTTGACATTACAGTTTCTATGTCTCTTGAGTCATCGCCGGTGGGGTTGAAGCAGCTACAGAACGAACTTAAGGCTATTCCAGTGAATAATAAAACATCTAAAAATCACGATGAATATCATCCAAGCAGTAATGCTGGTGTGGGTGAGATTTTTCTCCCAAATTAGAGCTTGCAGGATAGTTTCTAGGATATGAGTTTTTTTTTTTTAAACCTGTCTTTATCATTGGTCTGTAGATTATCTACCGAGGGTTCAGAGTGAAGTAAAGCTGCGTTGTGTATCGACAAAAGAGAAAGGACGGGGTATGGTATCAGAATGTGATATTGAACAAGCTTCTGTGATACATGTCGAAGAACCATTTAGTGTGGTATGAGCCTTGTGATACACAATTAGGCGTTTTCAAAACAATGAGGAAAGAGCTAGCTAGTAAATTCTAGATGGTTCTCTGAAACAAATGAAGATATTGATTGTTTCATGCTTTAATTAGACACATTTTCTTTTGTTAGTGAACATGTTTCAGTGGTGTGACGCCACTTCGTATATGTAGGTCATATCAAAAAATTGTCGGGAAACACATTGCCACTTTTGCCTGAATGAGTTGCCTGATGATTCTGTTCCATGTCCATCCTGCTCAATACCTGTGTACTGCTCAGAGTCCTGCCAAATTAGATCTGGTGGAATGCTGTCCACAAATAAGATGGACAAGCATCACAATTTTCAGAATCTACCTGATGATATTGTGGAGCATATTACAGGCGTTACATCAGTTGATAAATATTATTCTGAAACTGAGTCTATTCAAGAACACCAGCATGAATGTCGGGGAGCCAATTGGTCTGCTGTACTGCCATCTGATGCTGTTTTAGCGGGTCGAGTTATAATGAAGTTAATAAATCAAGGGAAAGCAACTATGGATCTTTCCAACCTTCAGGAGATATTAGTATGTCCTTTTACTATAGATTTTTCCCATTATTTGCAACGGTCACAAAAAGATCTAATAAGGAGGGACTATCCTATGTCTTTTACAGGAACTTTCTCATAGCTACTCTGAGATGAGTCCAGAGAGCAAGTTGGAGTTGCATCTACTTTCCATAGTATTGATTTGGTGCCTAAGCAAATCTTGCTGCCCTGATCTTTTGATCTGTGAAGCTTCCGTAACACAGGTTGTCCTCTACATCCCCCTCCCTGCCTCAGTCAATTTCTCATTGTGGTAAACTTTTCTCTCTGAAATTGTGCAGGGACTAACATATTAAGTTAAATGATTGCTTCCCCCATAAAAACATCAAGGATGTCTTGTTTCTGTGATCTTTTGTCATTGGAATTTAGTTTGATAACTGTCGTCGGGAATATAAAGTTAAATTTTAAATTTCCTTTTGATTTCTTAGATTAAAAGTTAACTATCCTTCTCGTCAAAAATGTTTAATATGCATATGATTCATTCGATGTGTTCCTGTTATCATGAATTAATGGAGAAGTATAGCTATGTACATGATGCTGCAACATTATGATTGCTTTTTTATTTATCAAATTTACTAATTGAGGTGGTGCACCGTCTGGATATGTTCTCTCTGTGTAGACTATTATACTGCTGTCACAAATCAAGGTAAACTCCATAGCAGTTGTTCGTATGAAATCCAGCGGCGATTCTTTCCAGTGCATCCCATCTGGAAACGTCTCAGCAAAAGAGCCGATTCAGAGTTTAGAGCAGGTTTGTCTTAGCCGAGGTATTGCTTATTTGAATGTTATTTGATGCATTTCCTCACTTAAAAACCCTTAGAGCTAGGTATCACCACATACAAAGATGCAATCTAGAGTTAAAGAATGGACTCCAATCTATCTGTAACCTGGTTATCTATGTTTCCGTTATATTTTGAACTGCTCTTTTATGAAACTTTGTGAGCGTCTCTTATTGCTGTTTATTCTTACGTCTCTTATTGCTGTTTTATCCACAGATCAGAGTTGGTCAGGCTATTTATAAAAGTGGTAGTTTGTTCAATCATTCCTGCAAGCCAAACATCCATTTGTATTTCCTTTCACGTGGACTTGTTATGCGAACAACAGAATTTGTTCCCATGGGTTGTCCCCTTGAGCTGTCATATGGTCCTGAGGTATTCTTGTGAATCTTCTTGTCTCGATTTGTCACTTCTGACATGTATCATATATCTGCTGTGTGCTTTGATGTCCATACTTTTTTAATTTAAGTATGCATTACTATTCACAGGTCGGAAAATGGGATTGCAAAGATCGCATTAGATTTCTTGAAGAGGAATACTTTTTCCATTGTCGGTGTCGTGGCTGCTCACAAATTAACATATCTGACCTTGTTATCAATGGGTATTGTTGTGTCAATACAAATTGCACTGGTGTAGTTTTGGATAGCAAAGTGGCCACATGTGAGTCTGAGAAGCTAAATCTTTTCTTGGCCGCTCCAAAAAGCCTAGATCGTCATTTTCAGGTAATCAGATATATCTTGAGAGGTTTAGCATACGTGTAGTTTAGTTTGGGTTTAAATGTATTGCTTTCACAGGTGAGTGAAAAGGTGTATGCTGATGTCGGTGAAGTGGCTTCAAGTTTGCTCACTAAACCTAGAGGTTCTTTTCATATAGAACCAGAGATATGTTTAAAGTGTGGTTCCCGTTGTGACGTGGAAAAGTCTCATGTAGAGGTGAACAAAGCTTGGAACCACCTGAGAAGGTACCAGGTTCTTACTTGAAGCTTCAAGTTAGATAATTACTGTGAATTTTCTCTTTTAACACTTGGATCTCTCGAAACTGTCAGGGTGGATGAGTTGATGAATTCTGGACATGCCAATGTTTCCATGTTATCAGATTGTCTAAGGTCCATCGCCGTTCTCAGAACTTCCCTTCACGTGTATAACAAAGACATTGCTGATGTGAGTCAAGTTCCTCTATTTTATGTTAAAGGATTCCCAAAGTATAGTTACTCTATATATCACATGTTGATTAGCATTGAAAAAGTCATGAGTCACGTTTCAAGTTTTTGTTTGTTCAGGCGGAAGATAAGGTTGCTCAGGCGTGCTATTTAGCTGGGGAACTGAGGGGTGCAAGGGAGCATTGTGAAGCGTCAATTAAGGTACAGTGATACTGCTTCGGGTTATACCACAAAGTGATTTAATGATTGACACGGTTGGATAAAATCTGAAAATTGTTTGAGCAAATCCCTCATAAATCTCTGCTTCAATTAGGTATACAATGACATAGTTCTACAGCAAAAATCTAAGAAATGTAGGATTGAATATCAGCCTCTTGTATGGGTTACGATGTGAGATAGATTTTGTGTTTGGTTGGCAGATTCTGAAGAGGCTATATGAGGATGAACATGTGGTGATCGGAAACGAAATGGTGAAGCTTGCGTCGATTCAGCTAGCATCAGGTGATTCAAGTGCAGCCTGGGACACTACAAAGATATTGTCTCAGATTTTCTCAAAGTATTACGGGTCACATGCCCAGACTCTCTTCTGTTATCTCCCATGTTTTAAGCAAGAAGCTGTGAGGTTGTGATCTTAAGTCATAAGCCAGTTTGTGATGTTAGTTTCAAGGTTTTAGTGGTTTGATTTGTACTGTATATAACAAAATGAATTTGAAAGAATCTAAATGAATTGTTACCTTGACTTTTTAAGTTTTAAGGTTGACTATTTAATTCCTCGGACCAGTTAATGATATCCATCATGGCGTACCTCGTGGATCACGCCAAAACCGGTAACACATGTTCATGTCACATAAGTATATGACTCAATGTCTCAATCAGTCAATCTATATACATTGACTGTTTAGTCTTTTTTTTATGGTTTAAGGAAATGGGTTTGCCTTTGACATCATGGTGTACCTCGTGGATCACGCGAAAACCGGTAACCCATGTTCATGTCACATCACCCAATCTATATACATACATACATGCATGTAACAACACAACACAGATTATCCTCGTACTTGAAATAAAGTCACTTCAGTGGAGCAAAAACAGAAAATAAAATGGCGCCACCGCATTTTCTACTGGTAACGTTGCCGGCGCAAGGTCATGTGAACCCATCTCTCCGTTTCGCTCGTCGGCTCATCAGAACCACCGGTGCACGTGTCACTTTCGTCACGTGTATCTCCATCTTCCACTGCTCAAGAATCCCAAACCACCACAACATCGACAATCTTTCTTTCCTTACTTTCTCCGATGGGTTCGACGACGGAGTCATCTCCACCACCGACGACGTCCAAAACCGGTTACTGAACCTCAAACGTAACGGCGATAAAACGCTATCGGAGTTCATCGAAGCTAATCGAAACGGAGACTCTCCCGTGACTTGCTTGATCTACACGATTCTTCCAAGTTGGGTTCCAAAACTAGCACGTAGGTTTCACCTTCCCTCTGTTCTTCTTTGGATCCAACCCGCTTTGGTTTTCCACGTTTATTACAATCACTTAAGCGTAAACAGCTCCGGTTTCGAGTTCCCGAATCTTCCCATTCTTAAAATCCGCGATCTTCCTTCTTTCATCTCACCTTCCAACACAAACAAAAATGCACAAGCAGTGTATGTAGAACTAATGGAGTTTCTCAAAGAAGAATCAAACCTGAGAGTTCTCTTCAACACATTCGATTCTCTAGAGCCAGAGGCCTTAACAGCTATCCAAAATATCGAAATGGTGGCAGTTGGTCCTTTACTTCCAGAAGATATTTTCAAAGGAAGCAAATCTGTTAAAGATCAAAGTAGTTACACACTTTGGCTAGACTCGAAAACAGAGTCCTCTGTTATTTATGTTTCTTTTGGAACAATGGTTGAGTTGTCTAAGAAACAAATAGAGGAACTAGCGAGAGCACTCATAGATGGGAAGAGACCTTTCTTGTGGGTTATAACTGAAAAATCCAACAGAGAAGCAAAAATAGAAGGAGAGGACGAGACAGAGATTGAGAAGATAGCTGAGTTCAAACACGAGCTCGAAGAGGTTGGTATGATTGTGTCTTGGTGTTCGCAGGTGGAGGTTTTAAGACACCAAGCCATAGGTTGTTTCGTGAATCACTGTGGGTGGAGCTCGACGCTTGAGAGTTTGGTTCTAGGCGTTCCGGTGGTGGCGTTTCCGATGTGGTCGGATCAACCTACGAACGCGAAGCTTCTAGAGGAAAAGTGGAAGACAGGTGTGAAGGTGAGAGAGAATGAGGAAGGTTTGGTAGAGAGAGGAGAGATAAGGAGGTGTTTGGAAGCAGTAATGGTGGAGAAAGCTGAGGAGCTGAAGGTAAACGCCGAGAAATGGAAGCGTTTAGCGGTTGAAGCGGGTAAGGAAGAAGGGTCATCAGATAAGAACTTGGTGGCTTTTGTGGACTCTGTTTTAAGGTTGTGTAAAACAGAGGAGGCAATGTAATCATCAATAGTCCAGTGAGGAATATCAATTCAAAGAGATTTGAGTATTTCTTCATTCATTTTCTTTTCATGTTTTAATTTTTAAAATTCAGCACTTTTTTCCCACTTTTTTTTTCACTTCTTTGCTTCTTCATTGTAATTGTCTTAAGGACTAAAAAGGAATTAATAAAGCAGACAAGTTTTCTGAAATTGTTTGTGTGTTTAAACTTTATTATCTTAAGAACCGTCTTCCATTTGAGGAACAACAAAATAAAGACAAGCTTCAGATTTTTTTGTACAAGTTGTTGCTGGACACACTATTCAACAAAGAAGACTTCAACGTGCAATACTTTCTCGTGCACTTCTCATTGGATCCCAATGCAATCATACCTGATCATGTCAGAGAATATCTTGAAACGAATGGATACCCAGGATTGTACCTTAGAGAATTGATTCTTATCTATAAAAAAGCTGTTCACCAAACTTTCTCTTCGGGTGGCGAGTTTTGAACTCAATATAGTGTAAGAAAAACATATCTCTATGAAAAAGAAAAAAAATATCTCTTGATATTTATGTAAGAAAAAAACATTTACGTAATTGTTTTTCTTCTTTCTCTCTCTTTTTCTTAACTACAAGTCCCAGCACAGGGAAAATGCTCTTGTATGTAAGGTACGCCACCAGTATGATCCAGAGCTTACTTTAAGGGAATATAGAAAAAGCATGGAGATGCGGAAATGTGAACGAACTCCTAACTTCACGAAACACAACATCAAATATATCTTTTGTAAATATAGCAACTCCTGCCCTGGAAGCTCAAAAAAGGTAAAACAATTTTTAAAGACTACTTGGAACTAATAGTACAATTGTGCTGAAACAAGTGCTTTCTTTTTGCTAATGTTTTTATGGCTTTTTTATTTATTCACAAGACCTATTGTTTCCATGATTGTTACAGAATGTCGAACAAGGAACCTTCAATTGGCAAGGAGCTTGAACTCAAGAAACAAGCAACTATAGCTTTCTTCAGCATAATGTCTCGTACCACATTTGTGAGCCTTTGATCTCTTATCAATATTGATATGCAACATGTAGCATTATGGCTTTATTTTTTGTGCTACTTATTTCATAAGTGTTAAAAATAAAAATGAGTCTAGTTTGCGAACTAAAATATTATTTTTATACATAGATACTAAGATATCATATTTATCCTTGATTTGGTTTTTTTTATGTTGCTTTTTTGTAGACACTTAAGGAGCTCCTATTATCGAAAGGTTTTATCGAGATCACAGAGATCACGCCGATAATTATGGGTGATAGTAGTGAAGGGCAGCCTCTTTGTGTGCTAGAGACCCCTCATCATTACGAGAAGATAGTAATGATGACTAATAGCATGTGCGCTAAGCAGCCATAGATGTTTTGGCAAGGAGTTGTCTTTACCGTAACAAATATAGCCACTCTCAGCAATCCATGTTTCTTCTCTTGTTTTGATGTGAACTAGTGATTGCAAATGATTATACTGAGGTGAGATATTATACATATATTATCCCTTGTACCTCCTTGTATTCTACTAAGAGTGTTTTATTGTTTCTGTAGTTAATGGACATGGTTGATCACTTATATCCATGATAAAGTTAATGGACATGCCTCTATTCACTAAGATAAAGGAGACGTTTCCAAAGGAACTCGAAGTTATCAGAAATCATCATCCTTTTAAAACATTGAAGGTAACATTTGTGTCTTTATTGGATGAAAAAGTAACGCTTGAAACAGATTATTTGTGTTTTATTGTGCTCTTAAAATTTGCACTAAATTGCAGTTTCTGCCCAAAACACCGAGGATAAGCTTGAAGAGGGGATTCAAATGCTTAGGTTATGATTAGACTTGACTTTATATTTTGCATCTAACCTAAGGAGTTGCTCTGATGGTTTATCAATAACAGTTGGTAATCATGATGCCTTAACAGGATGTTGGTGAGGAGGTTGATCCTTATGAATATTTAGACACAATATCAGAGAGAAAACTTAGCCAGCTCATTGAAGAAAAGTAATCCACCACTTTTATATATTCTCGTTTGATATAATTTGGCGAGAATTAGTTCAGTATCTTGCAATTGCAAACTTGTTGATTTCGATATTTGAAACAGGTACAACACTAAATTTTACATGCTGCATCGCCTCCCTCTGGAAGGTAGCCCATTTTATATCATGCCTTGTGCAGATGATCCTCGTTACGGCAACTCATTTGCTGTCTTCTTGAGAGGTACATATTTTAATTATTTACTTTTTACCTCATGTGTCTTCCCTCCAATTAAGTTTACCAACATCTTTGATACGTAATTTTGCGGTTCATACTAGGCAAGATCATATCAGGAGGCCAATGTATCAATGACCCAAAAGTGGTTGAAAAACGCTTGAGAAAATGCAAGCTTAAAGTCTCCAATTACACTAAGTTATTCAGGTAAATTACAAACCAGACCAATTTGGATAATAGATATTAGTTATATTTATCATAGTTGTCCTCTAATCAAGGATGGCTACAAATAATGTTTACAGGGATGGTACTGATCCACATGGTTGATAACTAAGAGTTTTTGAGCTCTTAGAAGGGTTATCAATCCCCTTGTCAAAGTAGTATAAGGGGTGTCAATCCATATGTGTGGTAGTTAGGCACTAGTTTATAAGATAAGTTCTTAAGTCAAGTTAATCAAAGACAGGTTTTTGGTAACAAGTAACAAGTGAAAATATAAACAAGAAACAAACAAGCAATGATAAGGAAGTAAACAAAGCAAGCTAAACAAGATGATGGTGATTAAGCAAATGATAAAAGCTAAACCTCTAGATGTGATCATTGATTAGGGTGCTTTAGATATCAATTCATGATGCTAAGAACAAAATGCAATGCTTGTTACTCTTTAGTCTAGACTTCAAAAGCAGATTAATTCATTCCCATGACAATAATCTCTTTGCAAACCACTTAATCAAGATTAATTCACCTTAAGCAAGATCAAACAATCAACAAGCATAAAGTATCAAGTCTAATAATGACCAAACGGTTTCTATTTCAAAGAGACCGAATCTTACACAGAAAGCAGCAACAAGCAATCACATGATCTCAAAACCAATTAACTTAGAACTCAAATCTAGACTAATCCTCTCATGAAGGCATTAATCTCTACACTAATCCACTTTCAAACCAAATCATCATTTGTGAAATATGAATCAGTGAGCATTAAGAAACAGTTCTAATATGTCATTCATGCATTTAACAAATCATTCCCATGATGAAAAAGGCATAAACCCTTAGTTTAGCTCATTCAGACATTTCATCAAACACCTTGTGGGTGGAGAAATGACTAAGGTCTAGATCAGAGTGATGTGCAATAATCTAGTATTAAGAGCAGCTAACTAAGGAAAGGAGATGAAAATCTAGAACCTAAACATCATAAACCGATCATCTAAGCACCCTAATCTACACAACAAGAAGCTTAAAAGATAACTACTCACTAATCATGATTAACACACCATTTCCTTTGCAAGAGGTGGTGTTAATCATGATTAGAAGCAGAGATGAGATTATTAGATGATAAGAAACAGCTTTAAGATGATTAAATCTGCTAGATATCTCTTGATCAAACTCGTTTTTACACTAAGAAGAAAACAAAAAGAAAACAGATTAGAAAATAAGGTAATGGATAACTAGGGTTTTAGTCTCTAAAAACTATTTATATAAAAGGGTGTGGACCGGGTCAGCCCAAGACAAACTGGGTACTGACCCGCCCTTTCTGGGTTGCTGGAGCCACCCCTCGCCATCTGAAGAAGTCTCACACCGAGGGCCATACACCAGGGGGTCATGTGCTGGGTTGAAACTTTGATGAACACTTGAAGAACATGCATGAGACTTGGCCTTTGATCCGGTTAAAGCTTTGAAACGTGAAGAGGATTTGTTTGTAATCTGGGTTGGAGAGATGAGGACCTCGGCATACATGCCGAGGGGCCTGGTACCCGAGGTTTGTGTAACATAGGAGCTCGGCATAGCATGCTGAAGGGTTCACACCAAGGTCTGCTTCAACACTTAGTCGTTTTGGGATCATTTTGGTGATCAAGGGAGCCTTGGTGTTGAAAGACCGAAATCCTACCTTGAGGTATAGTCCCAAGGCTTCGTAAACATGCCTCCTCGGCATACGTGCCGAGGTATTCACGCCGAGGTAGGACACAACACTTAGCTTACAGTCGCATCTCTTAAAACCCGAATTGACCAGCTTCTCTTCTGTTCAGTGTAACTTTCAGCTCATAACTCCAAATGTCCTAAAACCAGTTCCATGAGAAAGATAACTCATTCAGCTCAATCTTTGGTGAAGAAACTATCGGCGCTTGGGAAGTGGAAGGCTTCTTGGAGGGCTCATCTTCGCAGTGCATTTACACGATCAGAGAGAGGCGTCTAGACATGTGTCCATTCCGGAAACGTTAAATTCTTGCTCATAGATCCGAATTGAATGATCCTGGACGTTCTGGAACGAGGACTCAAATATCTCTGTTTCTCATGAAGGCCTCGTAAACCGAATCGGCCTGGAAGTGCGCCGTCCTTCGCATTCTTCGGAGCTCATCGGGTCGGTCCAAGACGGCAGCGAGACAGGGGTTTCTTCCGACGAGCTCAACTTTCTGCTCACGCATCCGAATTCCATTATTCCACTTGCTATAGAACCATGATCCAATCGTCTCCAACTTTGATGAATCCCCCGACAACTGAATCGGACCGGAAGGTTCCCCGGACAGGCGATCATTCAGGAGTATCGGATTGCTCCGGAATGGATGCGAGAGAGGTCTGTCTTCCGATTATCATATCTTTCAGCTCCGTGGTCCAAATTCTTTGATTCCAACTTTTCTGAACTCTGGACTCAATTATCTCCAACTTTTATGAAGACTCCGACAGCTGAATCGGCCGGAAAAACCTTCCGGTAACGTGATTTCCGAGATGTATCTGCACTCGAGATTTTTGGCCGAGAAACTTAACCGCGGCACGTGTTTTTGGCCGAGAAAGCTACCCGCGGGAAGGATTTTGGCCGAAGATCTTCGACCTTCAGTACAGCATTTTGCCGAGAAACCCAAAATTGCTCCTTTTCACCATTTTTGATCATTCCAACTCCATTTCTTCATCTGAATCACATCCTCCACTCCAAATTGGCTCCAAAAGCACCTGTTTAACACTCCAAAACATGCAAAACTCTCTTGGGCCTAATGTAATCTCCTAAGTCCTAAAACAATGCCTAAAGACCTAAAATGCATGCAAATGAGACATGATTTAGACTAGAATATGTATATTAAATGATGCAATTTATGAATATATCAACTCCCCCACACTTATCCTTTGCTTGTCCTCAAGCAAAAAGAACAAATGAGAGAGAGAGGTTGAATGCATTGGGAGTTCATATTTCCTTTTAGAGAGAAGTGATCACAATGAGAATTCAAGTTCATGCTCAATTATGCAATGCAAAGCCATACTCAGATATATATCAACTCAACAAGGAATCTCCACAAGTTCTCCTCTCTCTCAACTCTTTCACATTCATTAAGCTTTTATCAAGTGAATCAAATGATGCAATGTTTAAACAAGCTGGCTTGGCTAGGGAGAGGCTATGAGATTAAAATGATCTCATCAGTGTTCAAGCGGGTTTAATGCAGCAAAAGGATCTCTCTATGAATGATCAAACTTTGGCAGAATGCTAAAGGTAAAAAGCAACCTATGCATACAAGGGCAAAGACTCATCACACCCCACACTCTACTCAAAGCTTTCTCACTGCTCACTCTCTCAAGAACCTCACTTTTCACACTCATTTTCCTTTCACTAGGGGACTTACTTTTCATTTTCACTCTCAAGTCTTGGAGTTCAAACTTTACACAGCTCTTTTTCTCTTTTGCAACCTCTAGCCTCTTTTTCTTTCTTTTCAAAACATTTGAGCTCTTTGGCTTCTTTTCTTTTTCTTTTACTTAGGGGCTAGACTCTTTCTTTTCAAGACACCAGAGCTCACTTTCTTTAACTCAAAACTCCAAGACTCATTTCTTTTTCTTTCATTCCCCTAGCTATTTCCACTTTCTCTTTTCCACTCATCTCACCTTTTTCCACTCACCAACAAGTCTTTTCCCCCACACTTATTCCTCGCCAACACTCTCAGTTCCTCAATATGAGACCTGCCCTTGTCGCTCTAAACCTAACACTTTCTGCTAAGTTTGATCCAAGGTGGCCTTTCAATTCACACACAAACATTGGCTTGAAAGAAGGATGGGTTCAAGGTGAGGGAACTGATCCATGATGTGGATTCAGCTACTTGAGCTAAGGAAAAAGGGCGGTAAAAACAATGGTACTAGCTCAAGTATGTATGTTGGTATCCACAAGCTTATTCAAACAATGCATCACAAGATATTTTCAAGTCAAGTTCAAGGTTCTCACTTAATTAGAGTTGAGTTCAATTCAAACTTGCTTCTCAGATTCAAATCGTTTCAGACTTTGCAAGCACAGAAAAAGATTCACAAGCATATTCAGTTCAAGTTCTCAAAGTGATGTACTCTCTAGAAAACTTATCATTACTCCCAGCAAGATGCAACCTATATGATGCAACTAGACTCGATCCTAAAAAATGTGAATGCAACTAGAATGAACATTTTTTTTTTGTGAAAATTTTCTGATTAGATGCAACTACATGAGACTCAAGACTCAAAGTGGAAAATAAGATCAAAGAAAACATGCTTAGTAAACACTAAACTCCTCCCCCACACTTAAATAACATAGTCCTCTGTGTTATAAAAGCATAAGAGAGAAGGGAAAGGCAAAAGCAAGAAAAATGCAAAATGAAAAATTAAGAACTAGATGCATATGTACAAAGAGTTTGGAGAGTTACCAGACTTGTTCATGATGGAATGGAGGCATTGGACATGGAGGAGAATGCTGGTGCTTTGAAACCTTTGCTCTGACTCAAGTCTCTCAAGCGTTCCTCTTTGTTCATGCTCGTTCAGGGACCCCTCTGCCTAGCCATGCCGAGGCTTCTATACCGAGGTAGACAAGTTTCTGTGTAAGTGGCAAGGGCACCTCGGTATTAGCTCAAGAACACCTCTGCTTTGGCTCTCCAAGGCTTCTCACAGCACTTGGTTCCATGAAGATCAAACAAGAGACCTCGGTTATGATCATCTTGAGGTGCTTGGCCGAGGTCTCAGGTTCACTGCTCCTTTGAATCATAAGGCCGCCACCTTTAAGCTCCTCTCTGCACTTGTTCCTTCAAACCATTGAGCAAGAACACTTTCTAGAACCTGAGATCACTTAGCAAACCCATCATAACATTCTAAAAACACTAAAGAAAAGATTAAAAAGACTATATACAAGGATAAGCTTGGGGTGTCTCCCAAGAGCACTTTGTTTAAAGTCACTAAGTTTGACTTTGTAAAACCTTGTCTTAGGTTGGGTGAGGATGAGCACTGATGCTCTTGAACATGTAAATTATCTGAAGCATGAAAGCTGAGCTCTGCTCCCTTTGAGAACCATCAGACCCATTTCCCTTTAACTCAAGCTTGAGACCTTTTTGCATCAG